GATTGCCTAGAGTTCCTGATATGTAAAAACAATTTTCGAATAATAAAAAAAAATTAAAAATTTTTGAAAAATTAATTTTTAGATACAATAGTTCTGATGATAATTCCTGCTTCTTTTTGACAATACGAAGAGTTCTCTATGATTTTTAATGACATATGCGATTAATAATCATTTTTTAATAATTTTTTAAAAATGGGGTGCTAACTTTTTAACGAAATTCAAGGTCGCACAGTTCTGATCAACTTAACAGAAGTATTTTGTGAATACCTAGAGTTCTTGATACATAAAAAACATTTTTGAAGAATAATAAAGTTTAAAAAAAATAGTAGAAATCTTTGAAAATTTTTTTGAGAGTACCGAGTAGTTCTCAGTTGCGTTTCTTATAGTTCTCGACGAGTTCTATCGAAAACTGTAAGGTGGAAAAGCGATTGGACCAACGGTTTGCAAGATACAGCGACATTTGTCAGAAGATCAACAATTTTTAGAGTATATCTCGGAAACCATTGGTCCAATCGCTTTGAGCCCTGATACTTTTCGACAGAACTCGCCGAAAACTGTCCAGAACTCCGAACTATAAGAAATCCGAGCTACTCAGAACTACTTGGTACTCTCAAAAAAATTTTCGAAGATTTCCACTATTTTTTTTTAACTTTATTATTCTTCAAAAATGTTTTTTATGTATCAAGAACTCTAGGTATTCACAAAATACTTCTGTTAAGTTGATCAGAACTGTGCGACCTTGAATTTCGTTAAAAAGTTAGCATCCCATTTTTAAAAAATTATTAAAAAATGATTATTATGCGCAAATGTCATTAAAAATCGTAGAGAACTCTTCGTATCGCCAAAAAAAAGCAGGAATTATCATCAGAACTATTGTATCTAAAAATTAATTTTTCAAAAATTTTTAATTTTTTTTTTATTATTCGAAAATTTTTTTACATATCAGGAACTCTAGGCAATCGCAAATTGAAGCTATTAAGCCGCTCAGAACTATTCCACCTCGAAATTCGATAAAAAGTTAGCACCCCATTTTTACAAAATGTAAAAGAAATGTTTATTGAGCGGAACTCTTCGTCTCGTCAAAAGGAAGTGGGAACTCTAATCAGAACTCCTGAGTACTATAGTTGGGGTGCTAACTTAACATACCCACAATAAGCGCGTGTCTAGTTTAATGCTCGCTATAAGTGGTGGCTGTGTGGCGGTTCGCTTTGGAACAGTTGATTATTCTTGATCTCAATATGGAAATATTTATTCACATATCATTTTAACGTCAGCCACATCAATCGTCTTTTTCGAGTTGTATACATTCGTGTTGTATACATTCTTAATACGATATCGACAACTGAAGACGCCACTTAAATTATGCACCAAAGATCATCTGTTAGTCTAAATAAAACTTCGTGGAAATGTATTCAAGTTGAGTTGAACTTTAAAAGAAACAAAGTCATTGATAATTTCCTATGTGCAAGCTTAATTTGCTTGTACTGAAAAAAGAAACAAAAGTACATATTCTCTGTCATAATATCGTAAATAAAAAATATTTTAGCTTAATACGTATATCAAAGTATAATAAAACTCAAGAATGGAGTCTTGTGTCGTACATTAATTTATTTTCTCTCGTTATATATTTTTTTTTAAATACAAACTATATTTATCGTAATAGTCGTTATTGATGTTTATCGTAAGCAAATATTATATTTCTCTAGAGAGCGAATGTTATTTCAGTAGTGATAATAATGTGGTAATAATGAAGAATAATTCATAACTGTCAGTCAACGACAAATAAATAAAAATTAATTTGTTTATTCCTGATTCTTCAGAGCATAGCAGTTAATTGAAATGATTCGATTGTTACTGGTTTATTTGCTAGAAAAACATAGAAGGGAAAAACAATAAATAATATACAGTTTTAAATTGTATATCTTTACACACATACTGTCTGTCTAAAATTTTTAAAGTGAAATCTCACTCTGAAGAACGAAATCTTACTTTTAAATATTAAAAATTGAGCCACTTTTTCAAGATCAACTTAATTTTCACTTTTCAAAGTAAGATTGCACTCCAAAGAATTTAGACAGTATATTGCAGTTTTATACGTTTTAAACGTATATTTAGCTTGTAGGGATAAAAGAGAACGAAATTTCGCGTTCCTTCGAGACGAAAGAATAAAACATATTTACATAAAAGGATAACAGGCGCTCGTAAGGCTTGAAAAATATGAGATTATTTTGGTGAACTGGCGGATTTGCCGCACGATCCAGGCGGCTTTTTAGACACAGTTGCGTGCACGAAATAGCGGGCCGCGATATTTTCAGAACATATGTGACTGCAACTGCGGTCTGCCGGGATGCAACGACATGCATTGTGAATCATGCCCCAATGATATTATATACTCACTTGCGAAATATATGAGCCACTGTATCGATATAATGATGAGTGCAATGTGTATACATGTATTGTATTGTATATATACACTGGAAAAAGAGAGATTAGGTTAATTGAAATTCTGGTTGAAAATGGAGAAATTATAATTTTCTGTTCTTGAATCTATTACGATATTCTAGTTAATCTAGTTAATTAATCTAGTTATCCTAGTTAATTAAGAGATAATTAGAATTCTAATTAATCAAAATCTTTTAATTTTAAGGATGTTGATTTTCAAAAAACCGATCTTCTCAAACGACAGAAGCAATTTTAAATCGATCTATTTTTTAAAAAAATTGATTTCTTTTCTAGCTAAAAGAAATCTTCGTATAAAACCTCTTTGTATAAAATCGTTCTTTTTTTAACAAAGGTTATTTTGAAGTAATTTTGCAGAAAATAAATTTTTATATATCGAATCGATCCAGAGATCGTACATCTCTACTTCTGGTTTGTTCGTTTTCAACCAGAAATATTTCTTGATATATAATCCTCTGAATTTATGTGTACGAGTATTATTTAGTTTTATGGTTGTTTGGTAATTAATTTATAATGTGGATTATACTAGTATATAGATATTTAACCACGAATATTATGCGTGTATCGAGTACACTCATTGTTTCATCATATCTATTTGGATCGAATAAATTATTTTGTTCGCAGATGATCTTCGTTTTACTTTTTTCAAAGTATTCATACATTTCATTCACATACTCGCTTTGTACAAAGTATTTTTACATATTATTATGTAGACGCCACATTAACTTAAATGTCGAAGACATCACAGTTGTTTCTTTTGTTTATTGAAAAAGAAAGAAAGAGGAAAATTATTTGTACAATCTTATTGAAAAAACGCAGTGAACACGCGATGTCGTTACGATATGCCGCTTAATGCCTTAAATAGCGCATATATTCTTCACGCGAGCACGAAGGATTCACGCTCCATCGATTCTTCAGCAAATTTCACATGAAAGCGCGAGCATTAATGAAAAATCATATCCAAAGTTCAGCGAGCAGGAATAATCGGATCGATTGCAGTTCACCTCGTGTCTTATAGATTAACTAAATAAGACCGCTGGAAAACGCAAACTGTTACGCGCCTTCGCGCACGAGCTAAGCAGCGACAGAAATATCCAGCCTTGACTTCCTCACGATCTTTTCTTTTTATTTTGTTTTGTTCTTTCGCGTCGATTTCCTTTTCTTCGAAGATTGCATTCCATGCCGTTCGCTCCAGAACTACTTTGGAAGGGCTGCTTGCTCCGTTTACTCTCAGCGGAGTTCGCACGAGCGATGTGCAATGGACTGATAAAAGTATTACTGCTCACCGTCGTCATGTTGCTCGTCTTCGCGACGCGCGTGGTTTGATACACACCGGTAGGTACGATCGTCATTGAAAATAATCGCAATGCTGCACATGTCGTAGGTGTCACAGGGATTCGATCAACTAGTGCGCAATACAACCGGACGTATCTACGACCCCCATACTTCGTCGTGGCAAACGGACACGGCAGCTATCAGCGAACGCATCTCGATGTTGCGTACTGTAGAACATCCGCAAGGTCGTCGGGAAAAATGCGATTTGAATCACTTCAGAGCAGCTTGAGCGCCTTTCCTTTAAAAATTAAGATTGAAGACGCTGAAGAGGCACCTTTTAAAAATACTTTGAAAAGCATTATTATTTATGAAAAAATATGTGTAGTTATGTTTTAAATTGGTGAGAGAGAGAGAGAGAGGGGGGGGGGGAATAGAATTATATTCTGTTCTCTAAATTTTATAGGAGTGGAATTGTAAAAAGTGCTTAAAAATTGACTTTTTTTAAATACTGACTTAATTGTCACTCACCACACACTTTAGAATTAGATTCTACTCCATAGATGTTAGACAATGAAGTATTTTGGAAACTTTTGAAAGAGAATTTTAAGAATTTACCTTTTTATTACGAGTTTCCACTGCGAAGAGAAGGTGATATGTATTTTCGAATGGAGCAAAATGTATTTGAAAATAACACATGTGCAACGGATATGACGCGTGAACATAAACCGGATACGATAATATTTGTTCGTAAGGCGATAAACATTCTCAGGGATTCAAGGCGAACATCTGCTATAAATAAAAGTCTAACTAAGGAAAAATATATATCTGTGATAGATTATTCGTATGTTAGGTATCTATTTTTTTATTTTATTGAATACAGAGAAGAGTTATTTATGCTGCCGAGTTATTTCAATAAAAGAATATCATCAACATTACCACAAAATGTATCGATGAGAGATTCTTTTCTATTCTATTTAAAATTTTAGAAGTATATAATAATTATAGGTTTGTGTGTTTGCGTTGTTTGAAATCCTCAAAAATTTTTTGCATTTAAAATAAGGTAAATATAATATATTTGAATGTTGAAGAAAAAAGAAACTGAAGATACTAATTGTAAGTGCAAAAGTATACAAACAACGCTAACAGACTTTATATTTCGTTAAATATAAGATAGATGATCGAATGCGGCAAGCTTTAGGTTTATTATTATCCGATCACATAAATTTGAAGACTTCTATTAATCTTTACTTGTTTTTTCATTGCAGGAAGAGAACATAGGATGGACCAAGTCGTGCGAACAGGTGTCGTTCATCATTGAAGAGGAGGAGTATCTCAAAAAAGCGAGAGAAGCAGGAAAACTCAAAGGATGCCTGCTTCGTCGCAAACCGCCGCATCCGAGCGGCGAAACGAAAGGGTGGTTAGTATTTATTGCAAATATTTTCTTTTTTCTCAAAAGTGATTATATTTCAAACAAATTAAATATAAAATACAAATAAACAATAAGAATTAATAGAACATATATTTATAATTTCCTAAAAAGAGATAAATTTTAATAAAAATATGTACAAGATAAATTTTACAGTTTTAAAACGGTTTTTTTATTTTTTAAATTCAAATCGGTGACATTTTTTGAAACGCTTGTTTATATAGAAAACTTCTACAAACCATTTTAATCTCTAAATGTTTGATTAGAATCATTATCTTACCCCTATTAAACTGGACCCCCCCACCAGCAAAAATCGAAGTGGCAATAGATCAAAAATTTAGTGCTTTTTAGTTGCCCAAGAATTAATTTAGTTGGTCCAGCCGTTTAGCAGCATTTTAAAAAAAAAAGGGGTGGGTCCAGGTTAATATTAAGAAGCTGGACACTCCCATAATAAAAAAAATAGATACAGTGCCGCTACAATGAAATAAACCACACCAGATTTAGTTCCTATTTAGTTGCTCCATCGAAAATTAATATTTTTAACGCAAAATCAATATTTGGGAGCACGTCACAGGAACCTAAACGGACCGCCGCGTCGCGCTGCAAGTTTCACTGCAACCAAACGAAAATTATTCGGGCATATAACACTGTTACTAAAAAAAATATTTAATGAAAGTATTACCAAATCATAATAAACCTTGAATATGTGCATGAAGTTAGCACCGCCATTTTGTAAAAAAAAAAAAAAAAAAATTTGTGCTAAATTGTGCTAGATTTGTGCTACATTGTGCCGCAAGAATTAATGACATAACTCAAAAAATAAAGCGTTAAATTGAAAAAAAAAACGTTTTTTTCAATTAAACGATTTGTTTTTTGAGTTATGTCATTAATTCTTGACTTAATCAACTGAAAAGCACTAAATTTTTGACCTATTGCCACTTTGATTTTCGCTGGTGGGGGGGTCCACAGTTTAATAGGGGTCATTATCTTTATCTACGTATTTCGTCTTGTGAATTTTCCAAGTTGTTTGATAATATATGAAATAGATACATAAGAAAAAATATGTTGCATATGGTCTTCTTTTAACAGCTAACACATGAACCACCGAAATTGAAAACGACTTTGAAGACACCTCCCAAACAAGCGACTAATCCTTTACAATTCGTCAAAGTCGGACCATGTTCACTGTATCGAACCGCGCAGGAACAATTACAAAAAGTCCAAGAGGTGAAGAAAATCAAACAGGAAGTCCGCGATGATCCCGAGGACTGGCAATCAGTGAGTAATTCTAAAGTCATCATCTTATTAATAAAAAGAAGAAGTATATTATTACATACAAGTTCGACAACTTGTACTTACATTCGATAATCTTGACTTTAATTCTATAATTCACCAATTATGCAAATTAAAAAATTTATATCTTAGATGTTTGTTTGAAAAAATTATTGAAGTTTGTTCTATTTTTTTAATGAATCCGTTTTAATTGAGATAAAATATTACAAAGCGAATCAACATATTAAAAAAAAGAACTAAAAAATTATTTAAAATACATCATTAGATTAAGTTTAAAATAATTAATAATCGAATTAAGTATCAAAATTCAAAGTAACAAACATAAAATTTCTTATTAAAAAAGTTAATAAAGTTAATTAAATATTTTATAAATCATTATGTATTTTACTTAAAAGTTTTTATATAGTAGATGCGGTTTTTTTAGTAATGAAAAATGACGTTCTATCCGTAGAATTTGGATAATTGGAAGAGTAGTCGAAGGAAGCGGCAGGAACACATAATCGAGCGAGTGGTGGAAGTGAAAAAACTCGAATTGGAGGAACACGACCGTCTGCGTCGTAAGAACAAAACCTTCTCAGAGATGATGGAGGAGCGGGGTAACAGGGGTCGTAAGCTGAGCATCAGCTTGGCTATGTACAACGAGGAGGATGCGAATGATCTTAGCGACCTCGGGATCGGTACGAGCAGCGGCAAGAGCTCGGTCAGCGGCGATACGCATGACGACACACATAGTGTTTTGGTACGCATTTATTCAAATACGTGCATAATGTACACCTTACGTTGCGTCAACTCGCTTGTATTGAAAAAAACAATAATTCCGTTAAATTTATTAACACAAATTTTGTAACAAGGTAAATTAATTTTTAAAAATGATTTATTAATTGTATAACTATATATAAATACTTTTTTAAGACAAATTAATGAAAATCGTTAATTGTTGATCATAATATGTTGATTAGCATTTTATTTTATTCTTTTTTATTATAAATCCATACAAGAATTATCGGATTATAAATTCAAGACTTACCACCACATTTGCAATGATCTCACCAAACCATATTAATCGTATGGCCATGACTATGACCGTTGTACATTTTTACATTTGTTTATATTATGTATCACCTGCAAATATTCCCAAGCTATCTGTCACGCGATCAATAGTCATTTCTATATTAAATCGACAAGAAGAGAATAATATTACAAGTTAATTATTAAAGCACACTTCTATAGCAAAAAATTTTATAGATATTCTTACGAGAGAGAGAACAGCATTGTTCGATAACATTATGTTTGTTTTTTTCGTATAGAGCGACAGGGATAGCGAGATTGAGAAGAACCATTCGGATGTCGATAACACCATTGATATGACCTCATCCACGACGACGAGCATTGCAACATCGACGACGACGACGACGACGGCGGCGGTGACAATCGCGACTACATCAATAGCAACAACAGTAACAACGGCAACGACAACTGCGGATACTAGTACGACAATAACATCAACAATAGCACCGATGACAACGACGGCAACGACTACCGTGACGACAACGTCTACCGCGAGAAAAATGTTTGGTCGTGGTTTTCATGGCAATCTGAATCACAATCAGGAATACGATTCCGGTACTACCGCGACAACGAGTTCGCCTGAACCGGAAGAATATACATATGAAGGCGCCATTCGTGGTTACGTGTCGAGAGTGTCGCAAAACATACCGCGAAGATCCTTGACTGGAATCGACTCCAAATTAGACGCGACAAAGTCGTCGGTAAACGGTTCAAAAACGAACTTGAACGACGACAGTAGTAAGTCCCCGCTGTCAGTGGTGAAGGTAGACATATTGAAGCGACGCGAGATGTTCGAAAAGGCGTCACAGAAGAGCAGCGACAGCAAAACAAATAATAGGCTATCCGGTGATTTCACCGGTACGAAATCGATCAAAGAGAGACTATCGAGTCTCGAAAGACAGAAGTACGAGATGGAGAACGGTGACAAGGCCACTAACAAAACTCTCAACCGATTATCTGGTGACATGAGTTCTATCCGGGAGAGACTCACTCATTTAGAAAAGCAAGCTTCGGAGCGTGAGAGCAAGAGTTCCGTTCATCGTAAGCTCAGCACGGAAGATGTGGAAACGGTGAGGCCTCTCAGGGAAAGACTGTCCACCTTGGAGAAGTATAGTAGCAGCGACGAGTCTTCGGTGCCAACCACGACGAATGAGTCGCGTTCGCACAACGGTGAGCTCACCGCTAGGACAATAAAGGATCGTCTCAGCGCACTGGACGTAGCCAGGAGCAAGGACGCGACGGAGAAACGAGGACCCGCCCACGTCAACAAACATCCGCTTTGTTTCCGTGATCAAGAGAACAGAGTCGACACATCGACTCCTAGCGAGAGGAGTTCGTCGCCCGACTCGGAATATCGCGTACCGCGAGCCGTCTTCCATAGGAGCCTGGACTCGTTGGACGCGGACGCATCTAGCGGCCCAGACACGTTCGAGCGTGTGCAAAGCCTCGAAGAGCTCGATTATGGACGTCAATATCCCGCCTCGTCGTCGTCCGCAGAACTCTTGAATGACACGGACCGCGAGGATTCAGGTATTCACACTGCAGACGTAAGTTGCTCGGTCAGTCAGGCAGATGAGCCGATCGATGAGGAGATTGTGCAACACACCAGTGGTACGATCGTCGAACGAAGAGAAGTCGAAGAGAGGGTCAAGACTATGTCTGTCATCCAAGAGGACGCATTAGCATCAGGCACATTAGTGGAAGCGCCGAATGACACCGCGACTACTCGTTCACAGTTCACCAGTCACCGGGAGGCAGTAGCAGTGAACAAGGTAAGAGAGATATTGAAACTTTCAAGATATTTATTATATTTTCATTATATAAATTTTGGTAAAGTTCCACTCGATAAGAAACATTTATTCATATTTTCATGGTGATTTCATTTTAAATGTCTGACGTATAGGCATAGTAACTTAAATTTAAAACTTGTTAACTGATGCATATTCAAGGAAAACAATTTCAGTATTAATTATATTTTTTCTGATCCTATTCACACCTAAAAAATCAGACAGCAAACACTATGTTTCCACTTTATCTACTATTTCCTTTGCACCAATTTCTTTTTTTTCTTTTTGGTTATGGGTTTTTGGACAATTATATATCGGGTAACTCTTTGATTCTATAGGGTACTGCTGATACTTCTGGGGAACTATCAACTAACAAATCACAGTCGCAGACGCGCGTAGAGGCCATTACTAACTCTAATACACTTCGTTCGCATATTTCCCTGCCTCGCGCAATCACCCATTCGAGTCCGAAATTACCTTCACGAGAAACAACAATCCCCGAAAGCATTTCGAAACTACGAGCGTTCAGTAAAGACACGGCCGAGTTCAAAACAGATTCCGAATTAAGTCCCAACGAGTCCATAGTATCGGCCAGTTTGAAAATCTCCATCGAGCAAGCGAGACCGAAATTCATTAGCCAAGCAAAGCGACAGAATCCGCCCAAGGAACATCTCTCCAATCTGCCTCAACCTCAGCCGTGTTTAGACACCATCCCCGGCGCGGAGACATATCAATTGTCGTTTCCCGCCATCAGAGTCCCGACTAGTCTCTCTCCCGAAACCAGTCCGGTTTCCAAACCCTGCCGCACCACGTCCAAGATTCCCACCCCTCTCTCTCGCAAAACCTCGAAGTCTTCGCCAACGAGTCCCGACTCTGTCTTGACCTCGGTCGTTCCTAAATCTTCACCCTCGAAGGCGCATAACGCGACTAACAAACCCTCGACGAGTCAATCTCCTTGCTTGATTCGGAGAACGTCCGAAACGACGACTGCCGAGATCTCCTCGCCTGTGTCCCCACAAACAAGTTCAGCGGAACTACCTCCCTCGTCGAGATTACCCGCAGCGTGTGCGCGACGTCACGACGATGCGCTACTGTCTGCGGAACGACGTCGCACCGTAGTGGAAGTGTGCGAGAAGGTGGTGGTACCTCAGGGCAAAGTACCCATGACACCGCCGGTGACGCCGTTCATCACGGTGAACCGCGTCAACACGGTGGACAAGCGGACAACCCCCGTCACCGAGGTTAGAAGCGATCAGCAAGCCGGCAACGCCTCGAAAAATTCCTAAAGACGCGAGGACCATCTTTTCTGACAATAACAACCGCGCAGTGTCCTCCTCTTTTTATCAGCCTCTAGACAAGCCACGCTAGATCTTGTACATAGAGCCACCGTCTCGTCGGGCGCGAGGAATGCGAGGGTGTGTCGAGGGTGTTAAACGCTGAGAGAACGAGGGTTCGAGGAACAACTCTGTCATCGTTTCGACCTTATCCGCGTGTAAACTGTGTTATTTATCAGCCGATGGATCGAATAGGTTGAAGACTATACGTTCCACATTAGCTAAACAATTGTGCAGCTCTTCTTCACTTAACGTTTACACTTTCGTAGAAGTTACTCGGTTTGAAAGAAAGTTCCGCTGCCAGTTCTTTGAAACTCAAGGGCTTTCCCGAAGGAGAGATTTTATTTTAAGGAATTTAGCATTAAAAAAACGAATCGCTATTGTCTCTACGCTCATTAAACGCGAAGTTACGTAAAGCTACGCTGTTAGTCATGTAAATAGACGCGACGCAGGTGCGAATATAAGATAATCTTCGGTTATACGATATATAGACTTAGATCGTGCTATGCAGTAGAAACTCTACCGTGAAACTACTGCTACGCGTTATAATATACGGCGTAATGACTTGTAATAGAGTTCACAATTGCGGTATTATGTCTGTGACGTAACAGCAGACAATCTAAGCGCTATCGAATACGCCTTTTAAGGAAAAACGTAACGGCCGATCTCGGCATTAATTGACTTTAATCGGCAGTTTAACTTTATCTCCTCTGCAATTACAGCGAAAGCTGCGAACGAACAATCGACTAAAGTTGACCGCCGATATCGACCGTAAGCGGGAATAAACCATTGTGATAACACGTTCAATCGCTCCTCATCTTAATTACGATCGTGCATTAAGTCGAGCACATCGATTAGAATATCGGCGATATCGCCGGGCGTTCTCCAAGGAACACTTTAATAACTTCACTTGCGGTGCTCTGAGTAAATTTTAAAAGAACTCGCCGACACTTGACGCGCGATTATGATTAATTGCCATGGATTATAAGCGGCCGACCAAAAGAAAAAGAAAAAACGAACAACGATGAAATATAAGATACATTGGCCAACAAAACCTGCTATGTCGTATTATTTTCTCTTGCATTCACGTGGATCTTATCATGCGAAATAGCAAAGCTTTATCTTGCTTTTTAATTTTACTATTTGTTTTTATCACATAGTTATTATCAAAGAAAAATCAATTCCAGATTGATTGAAAGAATTTGCTCCTACAAATTTTAATCATCTTTTATTATTCAATACCTACATCAAGTTCATCGAAATTCAACAAATCAATTGATTCATTTATGATCATAAATTTGGACGAATTATTAGAGTCCGTATACGAGGTCCGTCGAGACGTTGAATAACGTAAACAGCTTGTCGTCGCAAATCTTGGCACAGTTCATCTCCACGGTTAACAGGGCGCATAAATATTCTCTTTTAATAACAACCACGTTCAAAGTACGATGGATATATCGACCGTGTGACGCGCGGAGTCAAGGGTCAATCGCGGTGACAGTTAATTACTAATAAAGAACCGACCGTGCCGACTATAAAATAAAGCAACCACGTGAGCCTACGTCGTCGCCGTCAACGATATTTCCATCAACGGTTGTCGCTCGTTTGTCGGCGCGCGATCGCTTTCTTTCCACGCGTCTCTGTCTTCGATACACCGAAGAGGTAAGACGTCATGTACTCTTGATTGCTTCGAGCAAGCAGCGATTTGCTTGAGCTGTGTGTTAGCCCCCGTGTGGGACATCGTGTCGACGAACGGCTTCTTTTTTTTTTCCTTTCTTTTTTTTTATAGTAGACTCCAGAACGAATGGTAATTTCACGAGACACGCATGTCTGTACGGATAGCCCCGTTCGGGTTCAGGGCCTACCTTCGAAAATCTTCAAAGAGATATTATTGAATTTTCTCTGTATATCTTGTCTTGCAATTAATAGCAATAATAGGAATAGTAAGAGGAAGAAGAGACGTTAATTAGACATTAGCCCTCCAACACAACTTTGTATCCTTTAAGGCACAGTCGATTTCACGTTTTCTCAAAATTCTTATTCAATATATGTAAAAAATAAATAAAATACAGTTTAATTTTTAAAAACTTACTATATTAAAGATTCCACAAAATATAAGAATTTTTTCAGATTTTTATGTAATCTGAAACCATAAAAAAATATATACTATTTTTCTCAATGATCCACAGTGTAAACTATAATCGAAAATTTCGAGGTGATATACTGGAGGGTTAATTTTATTGAAACAGTAATTCGAGAAATAATCTCTAAACGGACAGTTTCAATAACCTATAATAAAAATAACATTAAGAGGTCATTATCGATAGTTTGTTTATCTCTATTGTCGTTTATCAGAACAACACATCAGGCACGCGTCTGATTTGTTCATAATCAACAAGTAGAGGACAAGGTAGGCCCTGATCAAGTTCCTTATCAGTCTCATTTAGAGACGGACGATTGTACATATTTGGTTGGTGAATTCCGCATCGCACTTTGCACTCGGGGAACTTGTGCCTCGATAACGGAGGCTAGATATCCCTCTTATCTCTCTCTTTCTCCCTCGATCGCCGAAAGACGCCTTATCGCGCCGTGTGCGCGCTCACAGCCGGCTTTAATCAGTCTGACAACACCTGACATCACGGTGATCTCTAGTGGCTGTGCGATTTTCGAGGCGTGTGCACGATCCGCTTGCAACTTGAGAAAGTGAACGTAGTTTTTCCCTCCTCGTGTGCTCGTCACCTGCATGCGATTTGCGAGTATAACTCGTGAGGTAAGAGGTACTACCGAACGGTTAGGTGTAAATGTGTATGTGTGGGTTATTAGTGAAGTGTGAGATTTTTTTTAATTTTGCCGTGTATAGTGTTTAAAGAGATCGCGTGATCGAGTTGCTTCGATCGACTTGGCACTTGTAGGCTTTCTTGACGGCTTAAGAACGCTCACTCGTGTATTCGCTTTTGAAACGCGAAAGAGTATTGAAAAGGCTTATGATGATAGTATCTAGAAATTACATAGAGATGCAATAATTTTCTTTTTTCTTTATTAATTTGCTTTGAGAAACAGAGTGGGAATGAAAAGAAATATAGAGAATTAAATTTTGAATGTTAGTTCTATACTGATATGTTAATATTTGATTGGTTTTAATTAATTTCTATACAATTCTTCTGTGTTTTAATTAAAATTGTTCAAATATATTTGTCTTCTTTTAGATATTTAGTATTTTAGTCTTTATTATTTGCACTTTTGGAGCTTCTTTCTTTTCAATCGCTTATGAATTTACTGCCTCATAATTTCTTTTAATCAAGAGCATTACACAGTGCATGAAAAATATTGACACCATTTTGACACAATTGACAAGCTTCTACTCGACGATGCTTTACCGATCACGCATCGCCGGCTAGTAAATTACAATTTTATGCAATATTTATGTTAAAATATTTTATAAAACAATCAACACGAAGATTTTGCAACGATTTGCATTCAAATAATCTACGATAAATGAGATTAATCTTTCACGAAATTGATCTTGTTACGATTGTGACGAGATCCGCGATAGATTCGCAAGAGATACAAGAAATCTTAATCGTAAATCGTTGTTATTCGAGTCATTACAAATCAGTGCTTCTCAAGTCTGTTGATATCGTAACATGAGCTCCGTACATCTTCATAAAGGCGTGTCAAATCGCGAAGAAAAGCGCACGTGATTGCGAAGATCCGCCGCGAGACTCATCGGACGTGTAATATTACGCAACATACGTCGACCTGGTAAAATGCGCGTATTCCCACAGCAGGAATTTCACATCTGGTACGCGCGAGAGACATTCTCCTGACGTTTTTTTTCGTGTAACCGCTACGTTGGGAAAATATGCCGATCACAATTGCGGTGAAATACGACGTCGAAGTACACGCATTATATATTATGTCACTTAACGATTGCATCATCGGATCCACGAACGCGGATGTACGAGCCACAAAAATCTCCGAGAGCATAATCTCAACTTAAATGTCGCAGTGCGATTTCTTGTCGTTACAGTTTTTTATAATGATCTAGTTATCTTGCGTTAACTGACAAGTTGTATGACATCACTATTAACTGCTATTTCGATACATATTACGGAACATTTTCTAGAGATTTCTTAAGTATTCGATTAGAAATTGTGAGACAAATCGTGATTTTTTTATTAATTATTTAATTTTTCGTCGTAATATCGTAGTATTTATTCCTATCGTGATTATCCTAATTAAAACCAGTTTATCTTAATTAAAATGTTTATCCCTATCATGATTACCCTAATTAAAACCAGTTTGTAAAATATTTTATGTATTCTTGGGACGTTAATTAATCGAAAAATACGTTTGTATCTTTGAACTACACTAATGAGCGCGATCAGGACCACCAAAAGAAAGTGATCTTGTCTTTTTTAATCAAAATTCATCCATCTTCGTATATTTGAGAAATTCGCTATTCTAGACCATCATCCGTCGATTTGCATAGAATGTAGCGTTGCAAAATCTGCGCGAAACTGCATTTTACATATTCCGCTCTCGGCTACATTGCGGCTCGTCTCTTCAGGAACGGATCGTTATCGAGAAAGCGGACCAAGAGGAGGAGGCAGCCGCCACCGCTGCGAACCGCCCAGTGGTCCCGGCAGTCGAACAAAAGCAACAAGAAACGACGGAGACGTCGACAAACATAGTCAAGAAGAAGTGCGACGTCGACATCGACATGCACGACGCGCCTAATGCCATGGTCGCTACGCCGACAGCCGACCATCCGCTGGAACGACCGACGAACCTGAGTTTAGCCAAGCAGGAAGTTAGTTTGGTCGACGCGCTGAATACTCCAAATCCAACGTCACCAATTTCAAAACAAGTTAGTTTTAAATTACATTAAAATTTTTATCTCTTTTGTGTAACACAATATACAATAATTTCCTGAGACAATTCATAGAGCAACACTTATAACATACATAAATGTTCTTTATTATTTATAGTTTCTATCACTAACTCTGTCCAATGATGAGGAGATAATCGCCGATCAACCTTTCCTTTTGAGTCCACCAACGAGCGTGGAACCACCAAAAGAGAAACCACCGCCGCCTCCGGTGGACGTCAGCGACGATGATAATCCTCCGCCAGAGCCGCTCAAAAGATTAAACTCCACTCGTAGAATCAAGAAAGAGTTGCGCACGAGACGCTCAGATTTTCTCGGTATTGAAGGGGTAAGCGCAAAAATCTTCAGAGATCCGCCGTTTCTGTTTATCTGAGTTGCTTTAAAAATAATCAGTCATGTTTAATTAACAGCTCTAAAGATAAACATTGTCAATTTCAATTTTGTTAATAGCAGGTCAACGATGAGGATTTCGAACCAGAGTTAACGCTGACAAAACCACCGGATATGGCGGCGATTCTCGCTGAGGAGAGGCGCATCGAACAACTCCATCGTCGCTCGTATGATACTGACAGTAATTACGAGCAAGATTCGAGCCATGAGAGAGATTCCGGGGTCGAATTAGGACACGTCGAGGATTGGGCAAAACAACCTGTTAGCCCCGACATGTCACAGCATAGTAGACAGAGCAGTGAACCTTTTGGTGCCAGTGTGACTTCTTCCGAAGAGGACGAAATTACGAAAAAAGAACGGGAGATTATTGAAGTCCTCGAAAAGGAAGAACAATGGCGATACGGCGATAATCGTGAATACAATAGGTACAGTATAATACCTTTGCAATTTTTACATTTCTTTTTTTTATGAATAAAAAATTCAGAAGACACAAAATATCCAAAAGACAATTTAAAAGATCTTCAACTTTCTAAGTCTCTTCTGGAATTTTGATAAAAAAAAAAAGGCTTAATTTGTATTGGGACGAATAAATACATTGGTGATGCCATTAGTGACTTAGGGGAAAAACTGGCCCACAAACTGCGCGAACTCGAGGAAGAGAAGATGCAACTGGAGAGAGAGGCAATATTGCGTTGCAACGAGGACGCATTTCGCAAGAGGGACGACGCACGTAAGCAGGAAGATGCTTCCTCACACGAATCACCGCAACAGCAACACGATGAGACAGCGAAACAGCGGGAGACTCAGGCGCGAACGACGGAAAAGGAAGCGAAGTACATCGGAGACAAGCGAAAAGACGAGGAGCTTGAGACGCAGTCGGAACAACTGAGGATGCAGAACAAGATCGAGGAGAAAGAGCGGAGAGTCACTGATGCGTGTCGCAAGGAGGAGATACGCATCCGAACGATGGAAAGTCAAATTCGCGAGCAAGAGGTAAGGCAAATTATTCAATTTTATATTCTTCAAACGCGAAACTAACGAGGAAAAAGAGGTTGATTTTATATAAGTAGATAGTAAATTTACAACACAAGGTACTTATTATCTTTCAAATATGTTCTTTCTTTGACATTTCTGTCAATTGATTTTTTTTTTTTCGGGGAAACTCGAAGCTATGCACAAATTTCTTCTAGCCGAGGCACGCATTTTTAACAGATAGCTTGGAAAGATCCTTGGGGCAATGCTGTGATTATTATCGATATCTCTTGATCCGTTTGTACTACCGTTATTTATACATTGAAAAAAGATTGTATGTTAGACAAGTTTACTACAACATTGCCTGAAGGATTCGATTGTTCAGTAGTAGTATGGTGCAAATCAAGTATATAGTGTAGTGTAAATATTGATAGAGGGATCGTTGCTAATTATTCACAGAGCAAGGCATTGGTCGGTACTGGGTTGAGCAGCAACGAAGATGAATTCCCTTCCGGGGTAAGGCAACAGTTGTCTTCACCACTGTTTTAGTCGCTTGTTTGCACGAAACTTTTACATAAATATTCGTATAGGAATTCTTTATATCTCTTATTACTATCTCTTTTTAATTTCGAAACATCTTAACTAATCTCAGCTTGTTTCGATATGATCTCTTTTCATGTAGTAATATATTAAACTTAAACGAATAGATTAATCATATATAAAAGGGATACTTAATTTTATTTAATTTGCTAAAACATGTTTTGTAGAATCGCGAAAGTAGCAAATAATAATTGTAAGTTTTAAATTAAATGTATTTATTTATGAAAATATTTAGAATTATATTTTGAGTAATAATAATTACTTCTATACTTAAAAAAGTATAATTAAAATTAACATGACAAAAACATTTATGTCTATTAACATTGTGCATGTAAAGATAACGAATGCAATAAAAATATCGTTATCTCTTTAGGAAGTGCTACGAGTAGAAAGGGAACTTCTACAATTGGAGCAGGAAGAATTAAAAAGACAACGCAATAATTTGGCTTATCGCGAGCAGAAGCAGCTTAGGTTAGCAGAGCAGTTACAAGAACAATGGAAATCTTTGCAAGATGTTGCGCAGAACTCTATTAAAAACACGCAACAATACAAGTATCATACTCCTGCAGTGAATTACAGATCTTCAATGCCAAATTTGCAGTTTCAAGATGCGCCAAGAAGGAGACCACCACCACCACCACCGATTCCACTTAATAAACCACGTATACTAGATCAGAGGCAAAGAGATGTTACAATTAGGTAAATACGATAATATATTTTAGAGGAAGAAAGATACCTGTTATTGCATTAAATTTTCTTTTACTATCTAATAAATATTAGTTAAATTATGTTTAAATTAAAATGAAACCTTTGTATAATGATAATAAAATCGATATTATAACTGGATAATAATTCGTATTGAATTTTTTTTATTTTATTGGGAATATAGGAATAGCCGTATACCATCCGCGGATTCAATTCCTCAACAAGTAGACGCATCGATTCGTGAGAGCGCATCGACAACGACACTTGGAAATCATACTGGCCAGCAAATGTCCAGACAGACCTTACAGGTAAGAAACCCTATAGAGTCTAAACCATGAGAAAATATCCGGTATTTTTCTTTAAAATTACGAGAGACAAATATGTACGCTATCTCATTTTTATTCACTCTGCGCACTATGGATGTAAATGTATAACAGTTCTATAAGCTTCATAGTTCCTGGCGAATATAAGTAATATATACAGTTCTATGTAATCCAACTTTTTCTCGATTTTGCGTAATATCTGTAAGTTAAAAAAATTTTTTTTCTGAGTAAAAAAGATTGGATGCGCCAGCACTTTCCTGCAACAATCTATCGTCAAAAGATTAGATAATGAAGTACATTTCAAACAATTGCGGCGAATCGAAGAAAAATGTTGGACCAATCAAGAACATTACTATTATATATCGTGACCAGATTCTGATTACAGGCATTTTACTTACAGGCATTAAGTGCAGTACCACGCCCACGAATTGTTCAAGGTGATCAGTGGGTCCAACGAAGAAAAAGTGATGTGCCTAGAGGAGCTAATGATGTGAACTATCAACATTGGCTTATTCAAGTGCGTATTAACATTATTTATATTAATTAATAAATACATAAATATTGTTTTCTTTATATAATTCTATAACTTTAAAGACACATTAACTCCATTATTAAACAATTTGTTCAATAAATCATTTACATGTTAAAATAAGATTTTTAATATTTTGTAAAGATTTAATTTTTCAGTTATATTCCAGTGTTTATCGTGTATTCTATTAAATTTCTAACAAAATTAGATACATATATTTTTTTTATCTAGTAGATAAATTCTATTTCAATTAATTTTTCAGGAGGCGGAACAAAGAAGGATTAATGAGAGAAATCAACGATCACCGGCGCGAAAACCCCAACCTCATGTAACTGGCACTTCTGTACCATATAACGCTCCAATTCGGACAGATAGCAAACCGCTACCCGATTCTATCATACAAACTCTGACGCAAAGGGTACAGAGTAAAACGCAGGAGAAACCTCTTTTAACAAGGCGAAGGTAAATTTGATCAGTCCTCGACGATTTACGAAAAAATTGATTTTATGAACTATTGATATTTTTTAATAATAGTATACAACGAAAATTTTTTAATGATTAATCATAATTACTTAATAATTATTAATATATATTTTTTTAATAAAAATAAAATATATTCTCTTATTTTTTTATTTGTATATTTAATATTTAGACTTTCCTTTCAAAAAGGATTTTAAAAAAAATATTTTTATGAATTATCTATGAAAGAACATTTTCATTTTTTCAGGCCAGAGCAAGTTCACAATCAAGAACACTTGACTGTGCAACAACAATCACCACAATATACATTACAATCTCAAAAAACACAACATACGCCAATTGCGAATAATAGCGGAAATCAAGAAAAAATGCTAAGTGTGAGCGGGAAGAAGAAATGTTCACATTGCGGGGAGGAATTAGGTAACGTTAATAGGTTAATATTAAAACATTATTTCATTATTATAAATATTTTTACGATTCCTTTTAGGTCGAGGTGCTGCGATGATAATCGAAAGTTTACGATTGTTTTATCATATGGAATGCTTTAAGTGTTGCGTATGCCATGTGCGTCTCGGCGATGGATTGATGGGAACGGACGTGCGCGTTCGAAATCATAAACTCCACTGCCATAACTGCTACTCCAGTGACGATGGTACAAACATTTAATTCGTCAAATATAATTGTATGATATACGTTTTGATTTCAAGAGTATTCGATAAAATTCATGTTACTCTCGATATAATTAAAAAAATAACATTAAAAAAATTTTATGTTAAAAATAATTGTAAATGTACAATATTTATCAATCTGTTGAAAGTTTTATATTGTAAAAATATAAATATGTTATTAACGATAATTATAAATTACGAATATGCGAAAATTTAGTAAGATACCTTCACTCAGAATTTGCTACATTGTTTTACTATATTGCTATTAAATTTTCAGGTGTCAAGTTCAGTTGTGTGTAGAAGCCTGGTTATCGGAATTACGCTGATTAATTTAATTGTAACGCTTTTTCTGGCCTATATCTTAAGATCTTCATAATCAACTGTTTAGTTACCCTTATTTAAAAGTATCATGTTGACACGCGCGACATAAAGTAAATTGCATAAACATAATTTTTTGACAGATCAAATACAAAGAGGAATGAAGGATCATTTTCCGCGAGATATATTTTCCGTATTTTTTATTTAAAATAATGCGTTTACACATGTATGCAATACTGTTTCTACCAACTAACACGAATCATACGTGATTGATGTATATAAGATGTATTTATGTAATTAGTCTAGAGGTAAGATAATTGTTGAGATATGGTTTTAATGTGGATGTAACTGGCGTCATCTGACGCTGTATATTTTTGTAATATAGTTCTCGTACTATTTATACCAGATATATCTAATTTACAACGGTTATAACAGAATGTACGCGATTGTTTTCTCAAGCGAAGTCTTCGATCCTTTTTTTTTTTTCATTTTGGAAGCGAATAGTGTTAGGTTTGAAGTCTCCCATAAAATAATCAAATTTCGATTTCGCAAAGCGGCCAAAATAGTTACAAATAGTTGATCTAGTAAAATGCTAACCTAGTTCAATTTTTAAAAAAGAGGGTCACTCCTCTCCCGGCACACATAGATGTGTGCTATTGTATCATCTTTTTAATTAAAATTTCCAATTTTTTTTATTAACTTCAAAAATTTATTTTATCAAATGTCAATGAGTATAAGAGTAAGATCTATACTATTTTTTTTTCATATATATTTCTATTTTTAAAATTAATTTGACATAAAGTATTCTTTATATTAATAAATGAATTATGTATCCACAAACTAAATTTTTTTTTAACATCTCTGGAGGGATATTAGTTTTAAATCTGCCAAGAATGTAGATTCGCCACTACTGAATCAAAATAAAACTTGTCGATACTTCCATACTTGATGGCATATTTGAATTAAGACTCGATGCGATTGTTTTAACATAAGCAAGACGACGGTTTCTCAATTACTTCCCACAATTGTGTCGAAGACATGTTACATTGTGAAATATTGTAACATACGCGCCTCGTGTTATTAACGTAATTTTATATTAATGAAAAAAATAAACGTAAAACACATAAGATTAATTTTTTCTGTAAATTTATTTCCTGTTCTATAAATTTTGTTTACTTCTGTCAACTTTCAATTAAATGCTGAAATTGCAACATTTACATGTAATAGCAATTGCATGGTGTGTAATTAATTCCACCATGAGCAATGGTATGTCATTTTCAATAAAATAATAGATATGTGTAAAATAATAAAAAATATATGATAACAAATGATTATCTGTTGCTGTGGTTAAAGTCTCGTTACAATTAATTGAGGGGATGGACGGAATAAAAGCCTAATTAAAAAATTTTGATTTTAATAAAAATTAAAATAACTTGCTATTTTTTATTATACAACAAATGGGAATAATATTATACATTTATGTAATGTCTTTGAGAAGTTACATGTATAATATTTGTCTATTATGATCAAAAAATATTTAAAAAGTTATTTGCAATTTAAAAAATGCATTTATACCCTTTTTCTGAATATTGATCACAGTATTGTAGGAATCAATAGAAAAGACTAGATAAAGTCCATGTTACGCATGGACGTCACCTAATAAAATTTTTTAATGTTAATATCGACAATATGAAAGCAAATAAGACAAATGTAATCAAAAGGGTTGTTAAATATAGTATCACTTACTGAAGTATCAGGTTTAATTAACTCCAACAAAAGAGGTAGAGCGCCACGTTCAAGAACAAGATCACGTGCACATGGTTCATCTGCGGCTATATTTCTTAAGGCTCACGCTGCTTGTTCCGCAAGATTAGGTGATGAAGATTTAAGTAGGTTCACTAATTTTGGTATTGCTCCATGTTTTATAACATTTTGTGTTTGTACGGATGTACCAGAGGCTATGTTAGTTAATATCCATGTTACTTCAAATTGCAAAGGAATGCTAAATAAAAATAAATAAATTATATCTTGTTTCTCTCATAAATGTATGAAAAAATAATTTACTTAAATCAATAAATCACTTTCATAATTTTCATATATGGTACATACTTAAGATTGTTATCTAAGAGCTCAATGAAACATGGTACTATGCCACCTTCTATTATATCATTTATAGGAGGATTTTTTTCTCGACTTAATAACTTTCTGTAAGCCTGAATTGCCATTAATTGTATTGTTTCATCTGATGACTTTACGTGCTTTATTATTTCATTTATAGAAAGAGCAGAAGTGAGTGATACGTCAGCTTTATTCGATAAATCCGACAGTTCTTGATTTGATATATCAAGACTACGTCGTTTTAACAATTGATCATCCTTCTTAGCTTTACGTAATTCCACTGATAAAGCATTTCTTCTTATTCCAGCCTCCTAAGAGAGGTATACACATTACATATTAAAGGAATGGTTGTAAATATATACACAGTAGGTACTTTAATGATATTAGGGCAAATTTGAATAGCAAGTGGAGCATAGGACGTCTATAAGGCCTCTTCCTCTTTTGTCCGAGGCCTATATTCGTTTCTCGAATCAGATTGTTTTTCGGATTTGTGGGTGATTGATCCACAGAATCCTACCTCAGTCAGATATTAGAGACAAATATCTATAACTAATATGTATACTGATGTATAGGACCTACAGTTTAACGCCGAATCCGAACGGCGCTGATGATCATAGATCTTTTGATCACCAGGTGGAGCCATATTTTGGCTCATTAAACGCGAAAAATCGCGTTTGGGCGCACGTGGGATTGAACTCGGGTCTACATATCGCGAGTCAATCGCACCGAGCGGTGAGGGTGCGATTACATACAGCGCGGTACGCG